TCACTGAGGCCAGAGAAACATGGAGAACCAGGTACAGTGGCTTTTGTGTCTCCTTGTGGGATGTGAACTTTTCACGGAGAAAATGGCAGCAGGCTGCGCGCAGGCAGAGCAGGAATGAATCCTCTGTTCTGCTAGCCAGAAGAAAAAAAAAATGCTCCTGCCGCTAATGAACTCGTAGTTGTTTGGCTCTGAAGCTATGCTAGCTGGGCACTCATACATCGGTATTTACTGCTAGCTAGCTTCAGTCTACCGCACCATTCAGCACCGCTGTATAGCTGTAGCCACAACCGGGGACACAAAGAGATTTACACCTGGTGTTTATTCCGTTCTCTCGTTTTTAAAACGCACATGCACGTTGTTAAATACCATGAGGACCAATTCGAGTCGAGGTTTTGTATAGCTAAGCTAAGCTAGTCCACCTATCAGGAGAGTGTCGGCCGTTGGCTAAAGGCTAAGGAGCCGCTGCAAGGCGCCGGGGAAAAGATTTGTCCTCTCCAGGTTGGGCAGGAGAGGCGGGGTGGTGTCTCCACTGCCAGCGGCCTGAAACCTCACATGCAAGGCTAATAACACCATCAACCTCTGTAATATCTGTGCATCATTTGCCAACAGTTGGTTAATGTTTAATGCTCCCCGTATTCATGATTGTAAACTAAAATGCATGTACCATGGTGGAAAAGCTCTGTGGCACACGTTGAACTTGATTACCACCCATGTATTGGCTAATCCTAAAGAACCCAGAATATAAAACATTAAGACTGGTTTGTAAACCCTTTGCTCCTACAAGACCTTGTCTTTGCATTTTATTCTGTTCATGTGTAAATTTGCCCAGTTAAGATTTATGTCATCCTTAAAAAGCTACATCATTTATTTTGCAGAAAACAGAAATGTGGGTAAACCAAATGAGATATCTGCAAACTGTAAGTGAGATATTGCTTGAGAGTGGGTTACACTCTAAATGCCTGAGGTTATTCAGGACTACATTTCAGATGGTTAGGCCACACACACCCATGGAAAGTGGCTCAGCCACTTTCTTGGAACTAGCCCCATTCAGCGTTGGTCCCTTTGAAGTTTAACTAGATCTGTGAGTGTTCATCTAGAGGAAGACTTCTGCCACAAGTTAAAAGAATAGTGTAGCTGTTCTTCTGTGATGAATGTGAACTATGTCACATGTGAAAGATTTGCATTTGATTTTTCATTCTTATTACACAAGATTATGCACAGTTGCCAGTTTATTGGTACATGCAGTTAAAAGCCTCACCATCATGAAGGTTATACTGTTCTTGTTAAAACAAGTTTAGGAGAGGTAAGTTTATGGTCCTTTTTGAGGCTGCAGTTTGTGATCCTATTGGATTGATTTGTATTAGAAGGTGTTTCTAATATTTCCTATCTTTGTTGAAATTAAGATATATTTCAGGGTTGTTGTATTGATTCTGCATTAGATTTAGATATGTGGACCTAATAAACCTGCAGTTGATCTGTCAGAACAAGTTCTGTCTATAAATGTATATTTGAATTTATTTACTACACATTACAGCATCATGACACAGCTGGATGACAGCCTGATTAGTGAAGTAGGGTTATGACTTTGTGTGCATACATTCTGATATTTGCAGTTTAGTTACAAGATCTATATGTATGAACACTGCCTTTGTGACTACAGGATGAGTGGCCATGCAGCTTTTTGTAATCCCCACACGCTCATCCACACACCTTATTTCCAATACTCACATGTTTCCCTTTGGTGCATGCAGATAAGGCTATTTGTGACTCCCTCTGTGGCTCTCCGGGACTGACCATTTTCCAATACAAGTAACTGTTTCATCTCTTTTTGTGCCATCTTTTAGTTATACGGTTAAGTGTGATGAAGGATTTAGCTGCAACCTGCAGCTTCATCAAAACACAGCTGCTGTCATGATTGTTTTTTTTTGTGCGTGTTCCTCTCCTAGGGAAACTTTCTGACTTTTCATTTTAATCGTTCATTAGCTAGAAGAGATTAAAATGGTCATGAGGGGTGTTATTTACATGTCAGCTGGGAGTTCATTGTATTCGTGGGACCTAGTGTGTCTGCCAAAATTTGTATTTCCCTTCAATTGGACCACTGTGTATGAGAGAGAGAGAGAGAGCAAGCACGTCTCGTTGTTAGTGTCTTTGTGTTAGATTTTGTCTCCCTGTGTTGCCTTTAATAGAGGATAGTTGAATAAATGTGTTGCCACAAGTAATTTTGGCCATCTGATACTAGTAGAATTGAATGACTGAGAAACATAACCATTGGATTAGTCCATTATTTTAGTAGTCGATCAATAGAAAATAAAATCTTAAATAAACTATTTGAGTCATTTTGCTTGAATAATGCCAAACATTTGCTTTCTCCAACTTCTACAATGTGAGGTTTTGTTGCTTTTTTCGGGTTTTGTATCACTGTACATTCAATATATTTAGGTGCTGGACTGTGGGTCAAACAAAACAAACAATTTAAAGAATCTCTGGAAAGTAATTTTCAGTATTTACTGACATCTTATAGACAAATCAATTTATAAAGAAAATGATCAACAGATTAATTGGTAGTGTAATCAATCTTCAATTGCAGCACTAGTATTTCACTATAGCTGCAATTAATGATTGTTTTAATTATTGATTAAACTGGTTATTTTCTTGATTAATTGTTTGCTGTATATGATGTCAAAGCCTTGTGAAAAATGGCTGGTATAATAATCGAGAGCCTAAGTTGATGTCTGCAAATGCCTTGTTTGGTCCAATGAACAGTCCAAAACCCAAATACTAATAATCATAATAATAAATTGTACTGTCATGTAAATAAAATAAAAGCAGCAGATCAGATCCCAACAATTCAAGCAACTCAATTTTTTCCCCAGCTTCATATTGCCTCCTTTGATTTCTAATAGAGAGTCACCACCGTCTTCCTCTTTGGCTCATTATCATCCTGCATTTTATGTTGTCCTTATCACATTTCTGATTTGGCGGAGTCGCCGTGGGGGGTAGGGGGTTGTTGATTGTTGGAGGGACTCCACGGCTGCTTGCTGTGGGTGTGGCGGAGTCTGGAGTTTAAGGGCATTACTGCCACAGAATGGCCGGGCAGAGTGCCAGGCATGGGAAGTGTGTGTGTGTGTGTGAGTGAGTGAGTGAGTGAGCCCGTGTGTGTGTGTGTGTGTGTGTGTGTGTGTGAGTGAGCCGGAGAGTGCCAGACCAGCTCATCTCAATCCTGTCCCCTCTAATCCCCCCACTCAGTCCCAGCTCACGAGCTGCTCTCTGTCGGGGCCAAATCCCCACATTCTTCAGTCCTCCCCTGGACATAAAGTGCCTTTCTGTCCCCTCTTGCCCCCCCCCCCCCTCTGCCCACCTTCCCCTCGTTCCCTTCTGCTCTCCATCTCCATAGCCTCTTCACTTGCTACGCCAATCACCATCATCACACCAGCACAGTGTCATTTGCTTGTCCCGCTGCTGTCATTGTTCTTGGCAGAGAGAGGTAGCTCAACAATGTGCCCCTCTTCTGGACAAACCTTTTGAGATCTGTCGGCTCGGGCAGCTAATCACTCCCATTCCACAGGGAGCGTCCCGACACTGTTCCAGCTTTGTGTTTGTCTAGGCCAAGTGTTCGGCCTCTCCTCTTGAGTTTGAAGTCCACACACTCAAAATAGAGATTCAGAGATTTTGTTTAAAGTAGAATCTGAAACCAATTAATAATGGCTCTTTGGTTTAATCTCAATAAGTAGCTTTGCTTATGTTTATTTGTTTAGCATCCCTAAATTTGCAAGGTTTGTCTCAGCCACTATAAAACTTTAAGAAACTGGAAACATCAAAAGACAAATTAAACAATCAGTTATCAAAATAGTTGCAGTAGTGCATATAGTTTTGATTCACTAATGGGTTGATCGGCTAATTATTTCAGCCGCAATTAATGTATTGTTGGGTAGTGTAATTTATAACTCTGACAGAAAGTAATGTCCAGGACAGTTTCCTAGAGTCTAAATTTTGAAAGTATCCAACCGAAAAAATCCCTACCAGGTTTGTGCCTCACTTCAAAGCAACTCCCCCAAAACACATTTTCATGCGCAATGAGTGCACAGGCAGAATGGCCGCAGGTAGGTAGGTAGACAGGCAGGTAGGCCTTGCTTATTACAGAACTGCGACAGCCACAGACACCAGATTCCTTTCATGTTTGTGTCAGAGCATTTGATTTATTGATTGCTGTCAGGATACAAAGAGAATTGTTTCGCGTACCGTAGCTTTAATAATTTTATAAGTTTCACCTTCTAAATTTGAGAACATGTTGTTTATCTTTATCTTATGACTATCTTTTTTTGGCCAATGGTTGTACAAAATAAGTGATTTGAAGATATCCTTTTTAAGTTTTCTAGCATTTTCATCATCTGCAGATTAATAAATAATTAGAAAAATTAGAAGTTTGTCCATATCCAAATTGAGGATCTAACAATAGATGGTGTGTTGTATGCTGTGTACAGATTGTAAAACCTCTTGAGCCAAATTTGGAATTTAGGTCAATAGAAATAAAAATTGACATGCCTTTAAATAATTGTTAGTTGTAAACCTAGTGGTTTTATTATAGTCAAGAAACAATGTAGAATAAATGTTACATTTAATTTGCAATTATAAATGCTTGGAATACATAATATGTGATTTCTCATGCTCAGGTTATATGAGCGTAGACATGTAAATCTTTTCATCATGAGAAAACAAAGACTCCACCTGCAGTTAAAAGTTTAAAAGGCTAAACGGAAGAAGTGAATGTCAAGGCATTTGTCTGAACTGGCTCTGTTCACCACAAGGTGTACAAAGCGTAGATAACGGCAGACAAATGTTCATCACTTTCTTGATCTGAATAAATATGTTGCTTCTCTGCTGTTGTCGTTAGCATTTTACCTATTTTTTGCCTTTTGTATGTTCTCCCATGTTGTCTAGCTACAGGTCTAGAGTAGTAATATCCAGCATTTGAATCTCAAGTTTCTGTCTGTCCCTTTCAGTGCACTGTGCAGGTGAAGCTGGAGTTGGGCCACAGAGCCCAGCTGAGAAAAAAAGTTACATCAGAAGGCTTCACCCACGACTGGATGGTGTTTGTCCGAGGCCCAGAGACCGGCGACATCCAGCACTTTGTCGAGAAGGTTGTCTTCCGCCTGCATGAGAGCTTCCCCAAACCCAAGAGAGGTATGACAGAAAGATACTTTTTGAACATGCAAACACTCTGCAACATTTGTTTTCATAGCAAATGTCATACTCAAAGGTATGTAAGTGTTTTAGATGCTGCATAAATACTTAAGTAATGAATACAGCATAGGACATACAAAACACATAGGGACGGAAACTAATTTCACTTAAAATAATGAATACATGCTGTTTTGCACTGTTTTAAATAAATTTTCAGATTAAGTTGTATATATGTGATCATTCACAGAGGTCAAAGTGACAACAGTGCCTCCATGTATAGTACACTAATGGATGTAATGGTGCAGTGAAATAATCCATATCATTTTTCTCTTTACGTTTCTGGCTCTTTTATAAATGAATGCTCTCACTATCCATCTTGTAAATGCCTAAAAACATGTCAGCTAAGTTGGAGCTCATTCATAATTTATTACAAATGGCACTGTTTTTGTTTTTAAAAAATAATGATAATCCATTATCATGGCAGTCATGAAACATTTTGCTGGTTCCAATCATAATTTTTTAGTGTAGAAAAATTCACAATATTATATAGTTTACCAAGACTCTTCTTCAATAACGTGACATAATTTAGTTAATTTATTTGTCTACCCCACTACATCAGTCATTATTTCATTATGTCATTCAATTGAAAAGAGTAATGTGAGTCTTTGTCTGTCTGCAGTATGCAAGGAGCCGCCGTACAAAGTGGAGGAGTCGGGCTACGCAGGCTTCCTCATGCCTATTGAGGTCTACTTCAAGAACAAGGTGAGCTCGACTGGACACGGATAGTAAACTGTGGGCGGTTGATAGGTCTTTTCATGTAGATAATATATTTACCAGTATATAAAAAATTAATTGAGGCTGTGGAAAAATATTAGAAAGTATAGGTTTTAGGAAATCACAGATAGTAATGTGACAATATGGGTGTTATAGTACAAACTCTTTAATAAAGTGAATATAGTATTGAACTGCACTAAAACATTTACAAGCAAAGACATGCACACATAAATTTGGGTTACTGGGAGGAAATCTGTTTTGTTTATTTACTGTTAAGATGGTTCTTCTTTAACTTGGCAAAAGAAACCAGGTCTTCCTTGTACATGATGTTTCTGAATTACTTTTACTGTCCGTAACCAAGAGTAATCAGGTTACTTAAGTGCATGTATATTGTTTAAGTGCAATGCAGAGATGGTTTAAAAACCTGTTTGTCCATTTTTCTTTGAGAGTGGCTTCACATTGGACAGCCTTACTAACACACTCTGAAATAGGTCAGATAGGACCAATCAGAATGCACAATTGTGCTTGTAAAATTACTTTGATAAGGAGACATTTCTCCCTTTAAGTGATTTCGTCAGGCAATTCAATGAATGATGAAAGACAGGAACCACTTTACTTTCATTACAAGATCATGATGATGCTTAAGAGGTATGTGCACATTAGTGTACCATCATGTCCTTTTATTCTTTACAATATTAACCCTCTAGACTGTACCAGAAATGCTACTTCCTTATCTTTAGTGTACTTAAGTAATACACAGTGAACACAGAAATCAGTCAAGAAAATATTTAAAGTCAAGCAAGAGGAGTTTAAATACCAGAAACCATTAATCCATTTACAAGAAGACATTTTTGTATATAAAATCTCTCATTAATGTCTTACTGCCTTTTCCTCAACCTTAATTGTCCACTTCTACAGCTTCTCTCAGGAATGTTATTTATTTCTTATCTGTGTGCCGGCTCCAGCTATGTCTATCTGTTTTATTGAGTTCCAGGGTTATAGTTCATTCATTAAGCTTTTATCTTTTGCTGTCAAATATGTAGGTATTGAGAGGTAGGGCAGTAATGCAGAAAGACACACAAATTATTGTTATTTGTCAAACATGCTGTTAAGCGTGGGTTAAACCAATGTTCATCCTGTTGTCTTCCTTCAGGAGGAGCCAAAAAAGGTGTGTTTCAACTACGACCTGTTCCTTAATTTGGAGGGCAACCCACCAGTCAACCACCTGCGCTGTGAGAAGCTCACCTTCAACAACCCCACCAAAGAATTCAGGAGAAAGCTGATTAAAGCTGGAGGGGTGAGGCTGCCTGACACACTGGCTGATTGCCAGGTTGACTTGACTGATGGCTCAGCGAGGGACTATGGTCAATAGCAGATACTAAAGTCAATAAAAGTATTATAATGGCAGCTACACTTTATCGTTCTTTATATTTTATACTTACTATGTTTATTGTTACGGCAAGGCAAGTTTATTTGTATTGCACATTTCACCAACAAGGCATTGGAAAATGCTTTACATAAAACATAAAAGGCATCAAGACAATTTGTAAATGCAACAAAGGGCAATATATAAATACATGCAAATACACCAACATACCAAAACAAATTCCATGAATGTGTACTCAACTTGGCAATGAACCTGATTCTTATTGTGGTACCACATGATGTATTATACCAGTTCTTCTCAAATAGAGTTGTGAAGTTCTGGATTCCCATTTCAAGTCTTTCTTTAAGCGATATCCTCAGTGCATCTGCAGGTCTTGAAAACATTGATCCATTTCTTCAGAAAGGCCTTAAAAGGTGTTACATTTTATTTATAAAAGTCTTGAATATTGTTTTTTCTCCCTGCCATAAACACTCGTATAAGTTAAACATAAAACATACAAAAGTGGCATTGTTGTGGCACTGGATAGTTTGTGTAAGAGGCTGTTCAAAACTTTTCTTGTGGGATTTCAGTCAGCACTATCAGACTCACATGCTCACACTGTCAGTTAGTGCTAGCTGCAGTAGCTAGGAAGCTCGTTATCTCATAGTGTCAATTTCTGTAAACTTGCTTAAATGTATTTATTACTTTTAATTTGTCTATCTGTCTATTGTATGTTTATCTGAATCTAGGTCGCATTTATTAAAAAGTTCTTGCACACCATAAAGTGTTAGTGACAGGTTCGAAGGTTCTCTGGATGAGCTTTGTCTGATGAAGGTCGGAGGACTGAAACATTGTTAATAAAGTGAGAACAAGTGATGGAAAGTGTGCAGGATTCTTTGTTTGCTCAAAATCGTAATCTGGTGTTCAGTGCATGCAACAGAATTTAAAGCTTGGTGACTTGGAGGTTTCTTGCCGTAATGCACCTTGAGATTGGGAGTTGTAGTTAACGTCCCCCTTGAAGTTTTGATGTGCTTATTGACTTTTTTTGAAGAAAGAGCTATTTTCTAACTAAGTTGTTCATCTTTTGTACTGATGTTTCAAGGTTTGGGAGAGTTTTATGACCATTGAACTGATAGAAGTGCTCCAATTGTGAGCCATGTTACATTGTCTTTGAGAAAAACTCATTAAAAGCCTGGTTCTGTCTTCAGTCAAATAAAGGCTCTGTACACTATATGAGAATGTATGTAAGTAACTCTCTCTTTAATTTCAGGTATTGGTGGTTCCAGAGGGGGCTGAAGCTGTGTCGAGACCCAGTCCAGACTACCCGATGCTCCCCACCATACCCCTCTCTGCCTTCTCAGACCCCAAGAAGACTAAGACCTCTCATGTGTCAAAGGTTGGTTAAATTGCCCGAAAACATATCAGCTTATTATCTCACTAGTACTGTCAGATTGCTCATTCATTTGGAGTATTTAATCAAGTGTCACAACTTCATTGATCATTCCAGTCAATGTGTATTGATATATAGGGGTAAATGTCTAAATTAACATCATATGCCCTTAACAAAATCATTAAATCGGTCTTCAGAACAGGCTGACTCAGGCTTATAATTATTGCCAGCTGTTTTTTAGTATCTGTATGCATGTGTGCAGAATTACTCAGCCATCTTATCTGCAGGGAGAGAGGACATATCAGGGGGAAAACAGGAAACTGATCCCCTTGTGTTTTCCATTGTTTCCACTGTTTCTGGTATCAGGTTTTCACAGACCAGTACAGTGGTAAGGTCTTCATTCTTCACTTAAATGAAATGGCGGGTCACTCGTAGCTTTGCATAGTTCGCCTTGTCTCTTGATAAGGTTTGCTTCTGTATGCACCACAAATGTTTTTTCTAGACTGAGGTCTGATTTTGAGTAATTTACACAACTTAAAGACCCACATTTTGGACTGATTCAAGCTGTAAACTAAATTTGTCCTTCATTTTGACACATAAATACATGTCACTTTGACCCACATTATTATTGTGGCATGAGTGGGTGTGGTTTGAGCACAGACTTGAGGCAGATAAAGGACCGGGTTACATCCAGCAGTGTCCATCTGCTGACATAGAAAAAGTGAGAGCCCCATACACCGCTCTCTGTAATCTTCCAGTCTGAGTCTATTTTTCACAGTGAATGAACATAATAACAGCTCTTATGTACATATCAAGTGTAATAGGGTACATTTGAAAACCTGTAAAACAGTTTGCTGATAAGTGGATGAACAGTGTGGAAATCCAATCCTCAACCTGTATCAGTGTGCCAGAGAGATCTGTTAAAAGCCACTCCTGTGGATGTGGTTGACACATACAAGCTTCACTACATGATTACTTTGTCTGCTGCACCCAAAGTTTTACTACAAATTGAAATTAGCTCATTTACTGCACTTCAAGGTAAGAGTGTAATCTAATGTAACTCCAGCAATACAACTAATGTAGTCCATGGCCTGTTTGCATATGACAGAGTGGGTGCATAGTTTTTATACTCTAGCGCAGAGTGTTATAGTATATTTGTTTTACTTGTGAAGTGGTATGTGATTAACTACCTTTTTCTTTTGTATACATTTTTTTACTGTTTGGCCATCCTAACAGCACGACTTCAGGGATGACTAAGTCGGTCTGTCGGTCCACCAGTTTGGTCCAGACAGAAACAAGTCCAACAAATATCAACAAAATCCAGTGCCACCATGTTTTCTTCATTTATGTTTCTTTGTGTGAAAGGACTAGACAATTATTACATGGATTGGCAAGGAATTCTGGTACAAACATCCATTTCCCCCCTCGGGATGAATTGTTATAGCCTTTGTTGTACCTTTTCAGACTTTTCATTTAGAACCATCATCTGTTCATCAAAATTTCAGTTTGTCCAATACTTTTGTTTATGACCAAGTAGAGACATTCCCATCAGCCTCAGCTGAACTTTGTGTTTAGGGATAATTGGCTAAGATAGCGAACACGATGAACATTCTACCTGCTAAACATTAGCATGTAGCATTGTCATTGTGAGCAAGTTAGCATGCTGAATTTAGAATATAGCCTAAAATACCCCTGTGCCTAAGAGGGACCGACCCACTAGCAAGGCTGTATACTGTATATTTTAAGTTATTGCATAAATGATTAATTTGACATCTTGTTCACAGTGAAGGTGATTACAGGATAGACTGGCAAGACCTTGATGAGGTCTCTGTGCAGCTGAGCCTGTATCCTTTTATGGGCCCTTTGGCTGAGTGCTTTAAGAGTAGATTGTAAATTACAGTGCCGTTGTTTTGTCTCTCCAGGAACCCAGCAAAGAAGGAAGTGGAGGCAGCAGCAAAGGACCCAAACCGCACAAGCTGACCAAGGAGCACCGTGAACGGCCGCGAAAAGACTCTGAGAGCAAAGCCACGTCGAAAGGAGACAACGAAAGAGACGGAAGCAGTAAGAGTGGTCGCGATCCTTCCTCTTCCTCGTCTTCAAAAAAGCCGTCAGAAATCAAAGTGAAAGATGAAGTTAAGGTCCTACCCAAGGCCGCCTTTAAGGAGCCTAAACTCACCCTGAAGGAGTCAAAAATGGAGGGCATGTCCCCCAAAGGAGGGGGGGCTGGGAGTGGAGGGGGGGGTGGGGGAGGAGGTGTGGGAGGTCCCACAGAGCCCAAAGCCCCGGGGAAACGACCCTCCACTGTTGAGTCTCCCAAACCCAGTGCGAAGAAGCAGAAGAAGGGCAGCTCAGAGGGGCCAAAGGGGCAGACGGGTGGGGCCTTCACAGGAACTTCTCCTCGTGTTTCCTCCTCATCTGCAGCTAGCCAGCCCTACGCAGAGAAGAAACCTCCCAAGGAAAAAGGTCGCTGGGCCAAAGGAAAGAATGACACGCAGGAGCCGAAGGAGCCCAAAAAACTTCCAGAGTCAGAAGAGTCGAATTCAGAGGACGAAGCATCTTCAAAGTCAGAGGTATGTCAGCTTCACAGGAGCACACAGGACATGAGCAGAAGCAACATTTTTCAGACTTTCTTGAAAGTGAAAAAGATACTTTCAATTCATAATGTCATGCTGTTCAAAAACTTCATTATCATGATATATTTTATGTAGGGCTGAAACTAATGATTATTTTCATTAGTTTATAGAATGTCAGAAAATAGTGAACGTCCCTGTTACGCTTTCCTAAAGCCCAATGGAACATCTTCAAATTTCATAATCACAACCAAAAAAAATGGACTAATTATTTCAGTTCCAATTTTTATGCTGTTCTTGCTCATTTGTATTTTTATCCATTTGTTACACAACTGCATTCATAGATTCATGAAAGTTCTTTCCGATTGGACCTAATTTAATTCCAAATCTTTGATCTTGAATGTTTATACTTCCCAAAAATAGTCAGATAAAAGGCAGCAGTCCAGAAGTCAGAAACAGCACAATAAAATCACCTCATGTGCTGAACTCAAGACTAATTAGCCCATTTCTCTTCTTACCTATTCCTTCCATTTCTTTTCTCCCTTGTTTCCCCTCTCATAATTTTCTTCTTTTTCTCCTCCTCCTACAGCAGTCGGCCCCTTCAAGTCCTTCCAACTCCAGTTCTAGCTCTGACTCCAGTTCAGATTCGGACTTTGAGCCGGGACAGAAACAAGGGCAAGGTTAGAGTCCCTTCACCTTTTTTCATGGCAGAGATGAGCATTCACAATATTTTAATGTAATAATATAAGGTGGAATTTGGGTGTGTTTAAAGATTTTCTGGAGTTGTAGGGTTGAGGTCAGTAGTGATTTAGTCTGTTTCTCCCCCTCTCAGGCCCCCTTCGATCCATGGTGGAGGAGATCCAGTCAGAAGAGTCAGATGACGATGACAGCAGCTCAGAGGAGGAGACGCCCATAAAGACCAACCCCCCCAACCGCGACTCTCGGTCAGTCTCTCTAAAGGCTTCTTTACATGTTTAGTCATCAATCAAAAACTGAGATTGCACTATGAGACGAGTTCATCGATGAAACACACTGGCAAGCTAGCGTAAAGCTGCTGCTAAAACACTCACTCACTTCGCGTTCTGCAGTCTTTTCCCTGGCTGCGACGGGGTCCTCCTCTTCTCCTCGTTTGGGATTTTTAGACAAGTGCTAGTGTTATGGTCAAAGCTCATTTATTGTCTTTTGCTCATTTTCAAAACATTAACGCGACACAGATGGATGGTGCGATTCTGTGACATGTCTGTAGCCAAGCTTTCATCCACATTTAGAGTGCATTTTAAACAAATTTCCAGAGAACTGGCAAATGAAAATGCAAAAATAATGTGCCTTTCCATCCACTGCTGTTGTGCAAATATTAGGAGTTGAGCACATCGAGATAAACCGCTGGCGCGAATTTTCAAGCTGGGTGCCATTAAACCGTTGCTGAAGAAGAAAAGCTACAAAAGGATTATCCAGTCAAATCTCAAACAGATGAAAACAATGGAAAACTTGATGAAAACATGGGAATATTACAATCATTTTTGCCATTTTTAGTCTCTTCAGTGGACATTTAAGTCACGTACATCATGATTGATTCACAAAGTCTGTTTCCTTTGCACTTTGTTCCATTTTGCCTTAGGGCTGTCGCAGTGAAATAATTATGTTATATTATATGTTGGGGCTCAACAGTGCTGTATTATCACATTTTTCATCAATGAAGTAATTTGGTGCCATATAGCATAGTAAGAGTGTCTGTGGATCTCACCTCACTGCACAGCGAGCCGCTAACAGCAGCTTTATGGTTGGAGCAAGCTAGCTGCTGGGTGCTAGTCAACAGCTTTGCCAAGCAAACTCGACTGTCCCTCAGGATTTTCAACGTTACACATTAGCCACGCAATATGCTAACACCAAGTTAGCTAACCTTTTAAAATAAACGGTAAAACAACACAAAACATGGCAACACTTACAGCTTCCAAGTTTGAGGTCATGTCATGTACAGCCCAAGGCAATCTGTCCTTGAACTGTTACAGAGCTTGTTATGGTTGTGGAACTTTTGAAGCACGAATTTATTCTTTTAACACGCCCTGAAGTGTAAAGTATGAACATTGCGGTTGTTGCGTTGCTTGCCATCCTCCGCGGTAGGCTTGACCAATAGCGCGTTATCTCAATTTTGTGGTTATCGCGTGACAGCCCTATTTTGCCTTTATCAGTACATAAAGGTTTCCACCTCAGCCCAGAGGAAAAACGTTTTATGATATTTTGACAGCTTTTCCAGAAGTGCAGAAAATAGGTGGCTGGAGCTTTCTGCTTGCATCCGTATTTTTTCCTGTTTACAGTAAACTGTAGCGCTACAATTCAGCTGGCTTTTATCACACATGACTTGCCTCAAAAGTGATGTCACACAGATCTCCTCTGAGATTAGATTAGACCCATGTTGCACAGCGTGACGTGGTGAACTTGGCGCCTTTAATTTCCTATCTCTACCTAACCCGTTTTTTAGTCTCTTCTCAAGATTGTTTCCTCTTGTTGTTTTTTTTTTAAATTAAGTCTGTTCTGTCTTCTCCCCAAATGATAACAAGCAAATGAAACACCAAAAAGAGCTAATGTTGTTTGCTTGACTGACTACTAGCTCCACATTAGCAGCAAATAATGATTATAGTCCAAGACTCACACATCCAAGTACAATGCTAATCAGTATGACAATGTGGTCTGTCTGTGTGTGGTTGACCTCTGACCTCGTCCTGTCCCCCTGTCAGACTCAGCCTGGACAGCGAGAGTGACAGCAGTGATGGCTCGCACAGCCCCAGTCGAGACCCCGCCCCTCCCCCACAGAAACACAACTCCTCCAATAACAAAGTGAGTCACACAGACCTCATTTTACTGACTGCTTTCACTGATGTATTGACAGGGACTAAAATAGTTTCACTCTAAAATAAACACTGAAACCACACATTGACATGGATGCTTGTGATCCAGCTGTCTGAATCAGAGTGCGACCTGTTGTTTACCGATTCTTGTCTCATTAATTCTTAACAATAGCATTGTGTTGAGTTTTTCTTTATCCAGTACGTGCATTTTTCAGTGTTCAGCTGTCAACATAACCATTGGCCAACAGGAACCGGAATTTTCTAAAGCTTTAAATAGTGTGTCCCTGTGGTTTTGTAATTAAAATTTACTGAAGAAATGTGTTTTGCATGTTTGAGAAACCCATAAAGGAGTAAAACTATCAAAACAAATGATTAAAAAGTGATCTACGGCATTAGTTGAGATGACTCATTTAGAATTTTAGTACATGCCGTATTTTTAATGTCTTTGTTCCTACCCAGCACGAAATAAAAAAACATTCAGCAAACAGACATAGAAACCACAGTGCTTCAGGAGAGTCCCAGAAAGTCTCACGGTCTAACATCTCTCTCTTTGTATTCGTCCTCTCTTTCTTTCCTTCTTTCCCTCTTTGTCTGATCTGTTTTCTGCAGGTTTCAGGCAGAAAGAGTCCAGACTCCTCATTTCGCTCAGAGAAGGTGTTGAAGAAGGGATACGACAAGGTAGGAAGGGTAAATCAAACTTTTTATGCTTTAACTCACATACACATGCAGTGTTTTTTCAATATTCAATGAGCGCATTAATGAAATCAAGATGGAGTAATGGCCGGTGAATTGATCCAGATGTGCAGACAAACTCTGGCCTATGAACCCTTGAAAAGAAATCTCTTCTTTTCTTCTTTGTGACTAGATGATTTATGTAGTGATAAAATTAAACTTGGGGAAACTTATCTTATATCACTTCTTTGCACTTCTTGAAACATATGCTCAGTTTCATGGATTGTGTTTGTGGACATTGGGAGAAAGGTTTGTTCTTTAACGTTTACTTGCTGTGCCTCCACTGCCTCACTTGAGTGACAAACTAAGATTACAGTGAGGTAGTTGCATTTAAAACAATAGCCTTGCATTTGTCCTCGATTTTCTTTCCAATCTATTATGTCACATTACTTCAGATAGTTTCTGTCATGATCTGTGGTTACCAAGGCTTTCTAGTTTTGTCCTTTTTTTTAATAGCAAGGAGAACACTGTAGTTAGGGAATCTAATGATTAGACGGATATTGTATTGTGTAGGGATGGTAATGGTGTAGTGGATAAGACACATGCCTTTGGTGTGAGACCCGGGTTCAATTCCCCATTGTGACACAACCACCAATGTGTCCCTGAGCAAGACACTTAACCCCTAGTTGCACCAGAGGCATGCAACCTCTGACATAGAAATTATAAGTCACTTTGGATAAAATCTACGTGAATAAATGTAATGTGTTTTTGGAATGCCCCCCACACTAGAGTGCACAACGCAGTCTGTTGCGAGGGCACACTGAAAATTAATGACAGAAAATTAATTTTTTTCCTTGTTTGAATGGAAGTTAGCTTTCGTTAACTTTACAAACTTCTACTTCTATAAAATCTTTCAATACCATACTAACCATGTCCCTCTCCTCTGTCACCCCCTAAACTCTACACAGGCCTACACAGAAGAATTGGTGGACCTCCATCGCAGACTGATGGCTTTAAGGGAGCGTAATGTCCTACAGCAAGTATGTGTTTCTTCTTTCCATTGTCCATATTCCATTGTCCAAGTATTGTACTGGAAAATGTATCTGCAGTTTAATCAGTGTAAATGAATGTAAAACAGATGGGATAATTTGATGCATACAAGGAAAAACCAGTGAATGCCAGAACCATTTTACTATAATAAGATAGGATTAGTCTTTATTGTCTCCCTTGGGAGAAATTTGTTTTGGGTATTCAAGAGACACAGCGTCTGGCAGCACACAGCCATCACAAGAATCGCACATGAATAACATTTAACAACTTGCAACCTATACAGGCACACAACACATAACACATGCAATAGCATTTAACTGGTATGTGTTGTGCACCTGTATATCTTGTAAGCAAAGTATCTTTTCATAGATAGATAATATATTTATATACTCTCTTGTCTGCTGCTGTAGGCAGTGATGTTGTGGGATTGTTGAGATGGATGATACTCAGTTTTCTCAGTTTCATTCAGCACCATCAGACTGTAGCAATGTCACTGCTGCTAGCTGCGGTAGCTAGGAAGTTCATCCTCTCATAATGGGCAAATGTCGATTTTAACAAAAGCTTAAATTACTCTGTCATATTTAATTGGTCCAGGTCACATTAATGTAATTAATTACATAATTAGGAATTATTCTTGCATACTACTGGGAAGTTCTGAAAAAATGTGGTATTAATACCAGTAAATAATTCCAAATTGTCCCTATGGTCATACTTTCATACAGTACTTTGGCAGGTATTAAAGAGGTCATATTATGCTCATTTTCCGGTTCAAAATCTTATTTAGGGGTTGTACCAGAACAGGTTTACATGATTTCATTTTCAAAAAACACTATCTTCCTTGTTATACATACTGCATTGCTGCAGCTCCTCTTTGCACCCTGTGTGTTGAAGGCTTCGTTTTAGCTGTGGAGTGATACATCTTACCTCTACAAGATCTTTGTTGGGAGAGGAACACGTGCGCAGTTCCTAGTTAAGGACTACTAGCCAATCAGAAGCAGAGTAGGGCGGGTCGTGAGAAGCCGGCTTCGGTTCAGCTGTATATCCCCTTACCAGCTTAGCAACATGGACTGGAGCAAGAGTATCAGTGGTGAGTTATTAATCTGTAACAAATGTATCTTTCATCCATTAAGCTTTAACTGAGCTCTGTCTCTACATCACAGTAACAACTTTATGTCCATTGACTGCCTGGCGGGTAGCTAATGTGTTTGGAAGGGAGAGGAAAGGCAGCAGGCGGACGTCTTGTCACTGTGTGCTGCAGCATGGGAACTCCCTTTGGGGTGGACTTTGTGCTTTTTCACTTCACAAACCTATTTCATGCACAAAAAATATATATAACTCAAAAAAGGAGAAGGAAAAAGCCAAAAAGCATAATATGACCTCTTTAAAATGCTATGTGGTGGTAAAAATTGAACTTGGTGAATTCTACAGAAAACCTGCTCGGGGTTTTTAAACTTGGTGATCCATGTAAGCATCTTTTAATAAGTTTTTTTCAGGAATAATATGATCTGAAAGACAAATGTTATGAATTATGATAATTGATCACTCCTCTCTCTGCTATGTCAGATTGTCAACCTCATTGAGGAGACGGGCCACTTCAACGTGACCAACACCACCTTTGACTTTGACCTCTTTTCACTGGACGAATCTACCGTCCGCAAACTACAGAGCTACCTGGAGGCGACGGCCACGTGACAGGAAGTGGAAACCGGTGTGGGGAAACCAGCGTGTAGATGGCAGCAGCGGTGGAGGTAGACTCGCCACCATGTCTCCTCTTTAAGGAAGGGGACGAGCAGCCACATCTGTCGCAGCTGTCTCACAGGGCTGACTGAACCATCGAACAACTACCACACGAACAAACACAAGCACACACGAAGACACCACCTTCAGGTGACACTGTGGAGGAAACTGAAGGAGGAGGTGTGGAGGGGAGGGTGGGAGTGGGAGAGGAGTAGCTCAACTCCGTCTACTGTCAGGATTTTCACTACACAACCTTTTTTTTGGTCTTTTTTTTTTTAGTCTGTGCAGCGCTGTGGAATGCACCCCACACCCCCTCCTTCACCCTGCACTCATATTGCTCCCGCCTTTGCAAAGCCAATACTCTCCCTCCTCCCCCCTTCACACTCCTTACTCGGCAGAACACTCCAGTTCCCTTCCCCCCTGCTGTCAGCTGGAGCTCATTTCTCTCCCGACATACTCTTGAGTCGTTTGTGTGTTGACTGCATGTGTGTTTGTGTGTGCATTTGAGCGCTGCTGAGGTTTAAGAGGTGTTGTCTTTGTTGTTACTGACTTCTCTTTGTTCGTGAAGCTTGTGCACAAACAGCCGGTTTCGTTCCTTCCCCGTACACACACTGTAAACAAATTCAGATTCAGGTGACACTTTACTTCAACCCCTCCTCCATTTAACATTTTTAAATAGTGTAGAAGCATTGAATAAATGGTTTATAACACACTATAATGTACTTGGAAGTAGATATAAGTGTTCTTTTTATGTATTTATCAACAACTAGAACTCCTCCTGTTGGCACCCTTACGTGGAGGCTGGTTTATAAACAGATAATGAATAACAATATAGTAAAACACACTAGATTAAGTTATTAATACTGTAAATTAATAAACACAAAATATCCTTATAGCTACATTATAGTGGGTTATAAACCATTTGTTACATGTTTACAGTGCTTTTAAATGCTAAATGGGGGGGGGGGGGGGTTAAAGTAAACTGGTACCCAGATTCATGCACATGTTTGTCTCCCAGGTCCTTACACTCAACACTGTACATGAAGACACTGAGGTGTGCGTGTGTGTGCGTGCGTGTGTGTGTGTGTGTGTGTGTGTGTGAGAGAGAGAGGCTGTTTGGATGAGTTTTCTCTGTTGTCTGAACTTTTGAAAACACATGTTCTGTTGAGTTTCCCCTCTACTTCCTCGCACTGAAAGCTGAGCCTTGACCTCCTACCAACAGCTCCCCCATTCCCCACTGAAGCCCACTCACTCCATCCCTCCTCTCCCTCCTCCTCCCTTATTCCCATATTGGCGTGCATGAAAGGGCTCGCCTGCTCACGGCCAGAGCAGTGGAGGCTCACTCTTGAATTGCCTTCTAAGTGATGGGTAGGGTCGGGTGGGGATTTCATAAAGCCGTGAAAAAGTAGCCATACTTGTCTCCCAGAATCCAAAAATAAGAAAAAATAGGGGCCACGCTTTTTTACATTTTATTTTTCTACAAGTGCATTTTGTGTATTTATTCCCAGATTGCGGTTACGATAACCTGTGAGCTATGAATGTATATCGCTTTTACTTTTCTACGGCTAGCAACAGCCCCACTCTAGTGCCTTTTTCTGCGACTTGCAGTGTGAGGGGGGGTGTGCGCTCTGTTAGCCATGGTCACACAGACTTGAACCCCCACCCCCCCGCCCCACCCCCCAAATACCCCCCTTTGGGGAAACGAGTATCCAGTATTGTCTTAATGGCTTCTATCCCTGCTACTCCTTTTCCAGTGTCTTTGTAGGCTGTTGCCGTTTTATCAGTGACGTTTCTGTTAATCAAGCCCTCTCGAAATTTTCAGACCACTAATTTTCACTGATGGTCATGTTTTTATGTTCTTGCTTTCTGAGATTAGGTTCAGTGTTTTACAGAGGAAGTGTCAGGTGACTGTGTGGTAGTTGCTCACATTAATTAGCTCTAGTAACAGTTTCTTCAGGTGTGTTGTGTGTTTTGTGAGAGACGGTTGTTGTTGAATATGGTGGGCGTACCCTCTTCAAGCGGGTTGAAGTATTTGAACTTATGTGTGGTGGAGCGTTTGATACCAAGTTACCAGGCACTTGAAGAGCTTCAACAAAGGCAGAAAAATAAGCTAAACAAAACACTCTGTGTGTTTTCTTTCCCTATATATTTGAAATGTATTTCTCAGGGGCCTGCATCAGGAAGCAAGATTTCAAGGGTTAGACAGATAACTTAAACCCAGGCTGTGCGGTCTCACAAAGCTGGCTCAATTTTACTTTAAGCAATTTACATCACTAAACCTATGCTGCTTGGCAAACCTCCTTCAGAGAATTTTCTGTTTAGAGGATTAAATCAAAACCTGTAAACGACTAGTAATAATGAGCACAAAGAACTGTAGATTCACTTAGAATTATGTTCTATAAACTGCATCAGACATTTAAGAAATGGTTGTACCAGAAGCAGTTACCCAGTGTTTTTAAAAATAAATATTTGTTTGCCTTTTATTAGAGATGACAGTAACAGGAGTGGTAACAGGAAATGAGGGGAGGTAAGAGAGGGACAATGACATCCTGTTGTGTGTCAGCGTCATAACCGTGAAGCCACAGGGGCGCCTGCAGTTGCCCACTTTTTAACAGTGCTTCTAGCATGTAGCACAAGCAGGTTGGCCATAGTTTGCGATACTGAAGTTGCATTTAATTGCACTGCAATTCTTTAATAGGCTCAACAAAGTTTATTTTGAATTATGCATTACTGCAGCTCAGAAGAACATGTAGACGATGATCATAAGCAAAAAGAAATACTCCCTATTAAATATTATAGCCACACACTGAAAATTTGCTTCTAGCATTATATTCACAGCATCTAGCCACGTAAAAGGCGTTCTGCTATACAGAGATGAAGCAGTGCAATTTCCACTGCTGAGCATTACTCACCCACTGCATTATTTTTAATGTCAGGACTGCATTATTACAATTATGTCAAAGCCACTTTCCAAAGGAAATAAAGGTAGACTTAAAATCGTCGTTTAATAATCAATGAAACCCATGTTTAGGGTTAGCTTACCGTAACCTTGTTCAGACTGTCATTATTTTTATGTGCACATTTACTCTCTTGCTCTTTGCAGCAGAAATAGTGTTATATTTAACTGTCAGGTTCTGGATTGCTCAGAATGATTAATTTGAAATATTTGTTCAACAAGAAACATATAAGCAAAATGTCAATAATCAACTTTTTCTCACTCTACAACATGTTCATGCACAGTTTGAGGAAGCCTTTAGAGCAATACCCACTATTAGATATAGCCTATTACTTTTAGTATTTGGTTAATATAATATAATTAATAGTTAATATGATGTTTTCTATTTCTTGTGATCTTTTTATATCTTTTTAACTTGCTGCTGCACTGACAAAAATTCCCCAGGGAGATCAACAGTTTTATCATATAATAAATTAAGGTACTGTTGATGTGACGTGGCATCTTTTTGTTACACTTCTTTAATGTAAACAAACCCCAACACACTGGTAAATTGTGGGTTAACAGAGCCAGGAGCCAGCGTTGTGAGACCAGCTCACCAGTGTTAGGTTTTGTGAAGCCAGAAAACCGAAGGAAAGCCAGACTGAGGTGAACTTAGTTCTTTATTCAGGCCCCTGGTGTGTTAGTTCCTGTGGCCCCTCCAGGCTTCACACACACACACACCACCAGCCCACTATGGGACAAACCTTCAATGAGCCATTGCCTCCCTGCCTCCCTCCCTCCCTCCCTCCCCTCCTCTTCTGTTCTTCCTCCCGACAGTGTTTTTATTCTGACGCTTTGAAAGCTTTAATACTTCGCTCTCCTTTTCTGTTGCCTGCCTGGCTCAGCGACCTGTACACACTCCCTCTGCCCTTATTGTAAACGCCGCCTGAGCACGGAAAATGTGTCTCCAAAAAAAAAGACAAGAAAAGAAAGAAAAACCAGGATCCCTGCCGCCTTATGTGCCCTGCAGTAACCCCCTCCTGCCCTCACCTCTTCCCCCTGTCCCACCCTCATGTTCTCTAGGTGTGCCTCTGTCAACAGAACTTCAGGCCGTGATTACTGAGAATGAACTTTGAAACTGTGTGAGTGACGTTTGTGCATCTGCGAGTGTGTTTGTCAGTGACAGGAGAGATTTAAAAACCGACCTTCCTGTCCTCTTCTCTGTGCATCGATGTGGGAACTTTTAAGTCCTAGTTCATGAACTCTGACCTTTGACCAGGCACTCATTCAGTCCCTTGTTGTTGTGGTTGAGAGGGGAGGTTACGTGGGGATTCGAGAGATGCCCCACTGTCTACCCACAGTCAATGTTTTATTTATGGACCTCTGCACTTTTGGCTGTGATGACTTCAGTACTTAAGTAGTTACCTAAACTGTATTTTTAAGGATTTTATACAATATTTACATGCAATACAATATGAATTTTTTTTTCTTTGCCAACCATTTTGTTTCTTATTTAATTGTTTTTATTTTGGCATGATTTGTCACTATTATTCACAAACATGCCTGTTGGATCTATTTTAGGCAAAATGTTATGGGGGATGTTCCCTGTATGTTTTTGTGTGTCATGATTCTGATGACAGCTGAACACCAAGAAGCAGGTGTTGGAAAATATTTGCTGGATGAGCTAAACTTCACCCTCTGCTTCCAGTAGGAATAACTGGACCAGAACGGGGACAAGAGGAGTCCACACTTTGGTTCAGGGAACTGACTGTTGAGCTAAAATGTTAAATTTCTGTCATGTCCAGTTATGATTTGGGTGTTTCTTTTCTACTCATTCATGGAAGTATGTACCCAAAAGCCTAATTGTGTTGTGTTATGATAACTTGAGCCTGAAGAAACACATCATAGGAAACAATAGAGTTGTGAAGTGGGATGGAGCTGTTTTGAGCGCTCCTGGTACCGGAATAGCATCATTCATTTTTCTATAGGCGGTGTTTCGTGACTCACAGCTTGAGCACTTCTAGGATCGGCATGAAAACTGATTTTACAATCTGCCGCTTAAATCAGTTCACTTTTAATTTTTGAGTCCCTTTTGGATGAATTCCGCCACATTGGCGCCGCGTTCTGTTAATAACTGCAACAGTGAGTTGTTTTTATTTCACTCATGTTACCTGATTGGTCCATCTGTCCTTCTCCATGGCAACTGCGGCTGAGGCTCATGGGTATTGTAGTATTTAGAGCCGTCCGTTATGCCAAAATAACAAATAAAACATGATTTCTCACAAACAAAGTTGAATTGATTTAATCTGGTGGTTCTACTGTACACCTATATGATTGTTACATTATCTGGTTCGAGTCCTGGGTGTCTATGTTAAGCAATATTTAAGATTAAAAACTGAATGGTGAAAACCACTTCCGGAACCAGTGGCCCCTCCCACATCACAACTCTGAGGAGGTCTGTGGGAGTGGAGCATTTCAGCTGAGACTATTATATATATAATATGTGTATAATACAGCAAAAGTAGAATATCTACTGTGTGGATCTTTAGAGGATGAGGACAAAGCGAAACTATAGACCTTGCAAATACATGGAGGGGGGTGGGAGGGGGCATGTGCAGACGGGATATTTCCTGTGTCCGTGGTCGTCATAATGTGTCTGTGACAAGGAGACAGGTTTGTCTGTATTTATAAAGGTTGGATTTTTTTTAGCTGGGATGTAAAAGAGGGAGGGTGGAGTCCAAAATATGTTCCATATATGTGGTCCAAGCTCCAAACGATGGGCAGAACAAATGAACTGGATGATGATGATGATGATGATGATGATGAACAATTTGGTATTTTTGAAAATAAAAAAAACTTGGCATTACAATGCCACCATGTGGCCATATGATGCAAGTTGTTAACAAGGACAAAACATGTTATTTTAATGTTATTTTTTATTTTGAAATCATATTATTAATAAAGTCATTAAGTACTGTTGTCCCATCGTGTGTTTCCGATCACTGACCGCTGTGTGACCCGTTCATGGCTGGACCGCAGGGTTCATATAAAGTTCATGTGAATGGTCTGTGCAGTCTTTGGGGTTAAAAGGACAAGCAGCAGGCCGGATAATAATGCTCATGATGCATTGACCATCTATCGAGGAAATGTCACTATAGGGAGAGATTTTTATTGGCAAAGGCTGATCACTAAATTGTGGTCTGTGACTGCATCTGCTAATTTTAATTGTTAACTGCTTTATTCAAATGATGAAGTATATTTAACATTATAAATGAAACAGTATTGTGATAATAGCAATATGTACTGTGAGACAATAGAAAGTTGTTTTTGCCAGAATAGAATAAGCTATAAACAGACGTCCCTGCCTGATAATTATTTCTATAAACAGTTTCTATTCTAATTTGACAAGTGTTTCTGAATTTTACTTTTATTGGAAATTACTCAGGCCTAGATGAACTAGAAATATATCACTATAAATGGGCATCTGCAGTACACAATATGACAGAAGCACAGGTGTTTCTAATAATATTAACCATGGCTGCTCTCCAAGAAGTTGAACAGCCAAAATGTTTGCCTTGAAAGAGACCTGTAGGTCTCTAATACAGGTCACTAATACATACAGCTTTTTGGTGAAAAACTCAGTAGCCACCTATTATTACTCTTAGCGATCAAATCAGTCTTCTTGAAACTCTTACTGAAGTTGTTTGTGTGTCAACTCAATTCTTCTGGATGTTTTGAGGCTGTTGAGTGGTAGTAACCCTTTTTTCACATTTGAGGTGATAATATTTATGTTGTGCGGGTGCAGTGATGTTAACAACTAAGGATATTAATGTACTGAACTTAAGCACAATGTTAAGTTACTTTAGTACTTACTTTCCCCTTTTGTACTTCTACTCCAGTAAATCTGAGATAAATATTGTACAACATTTATCTGATAATTTTGCGTTAAGTTACTTTTTACAGATTCAGATTAATAACAGAAAATATAATCAACAAATAAATGATATTATTACATCAAGAAGATTTTATTTATCTCCAATAAAGAGAAATATACAAGCTACCCAGCAGAGTGTATGTATAGTGATTAAAATTAGCTCCACCTTTACCAGCTGCAACATTAAAGTGATATACACATTAATGCATCAGTAATTATAATATAATTAACATTCTGAAATGGGACTCATTCTGCATAATGAGCTTTATTTTTGGTACAGTTTGATGTGAATACTTTTGTACTAAAGTAAAATTTGCAATGCAGGACTTGTGCTGCTTTTACTTAAGAAAAAGATCAGAGTCCTCCTTCCACCACTGATCCTGGACACTAAATAGGTGGCATACACTCAAAAGAGAGACTGAAGAACAACAGCGCTCCACACATCAGCTTAATCAACTTTTATTCCATAACTGATCAAACATTCACATGCCTGCTTTGTTTTTCTCCTGCGGCGTCATGCACATTTCCATCTTTGAACCCTGGTATTGTTCACAGCAATAACACCTCTTTAAGGTCAGGTACATCCAGTTTTCTGTCTGCGGTCTTGTGAGTTATTGCTGAACTGTTGGAGACCATCAAATAACAACCTCTTAGATATAAAAGCTTTCTGACAGGCTGTTAAACTCTTCCAAGTTCTAATTTTATATGTTGAGTGGACATTATTGGCTTAATGAAGTCTGTACGTATTCAAGACAGCAAGAAACTCACTCACTCTGACACACTGAATCACCTTCATTTCCTTATTTATCTTTATGCCTTCACTTTGAACTGTCAGAGAGCTACAAATACCTATTATATGCTTTATATATATATATATACATACATACACACACACACACACACACTTACTTCATATACAAGATCAGCTCTTTGGAGTGCAACAATCTCTTGCGTGAAACATCTTCAAGAGGCTGAAGACGTTACTGGATCAAAACCTCAAGCATCTGAATATTTATGTGTGTGATGCTTAAAAGATGGCAGCACACCAATGAGGACAACTATAATGCAGTTCATGTATTTGCCATAAACCTACATACAATCTAACTTTTTCCATTAACACTTTTTCCATGTTTGAGTGCAAACAAAATATGGAATGAAAATTTTAACTGAGCGAAAGAGAAGTAAAAGATGATGTAGGCAAAAATGTATTTACAATATTACACACAATCAATGCACATCTACACACAGAAGGACTGTTGGGTAAACATTTCAACAGGACCAGGCAGGTGTGTAGGCTGCAAATCAGTCAGCAAACAGAACAAGTCTGACTTTACAGTTACAAAAGGCAATAGATATGGCTTCAATGACGTGTTTTTCCAGCACGAAAAACAATTTTTTTTTGTCATGAGAGTTTTCTTTTAAACACATGTACAAAATAATGATTACTTTCTTTGAAACCAGGCAGACGAAGACGAGAAAAAACACCAAATACATTTAAAAAGGCCAGTAAACGTGAGATATGATTGCTGAATTTCATAAGAAATTCATAAGTCTTTCTAGAAATGCCTCCTTCATTTGAAGCTCATTTGGCCCTCATAAACTTTGGCAAACTGAAAATAAATAAACATGTTCAAAAGCACATTACTCCTTTTTTTAAAACACCCTATAATGTATTTTCGATTCTGTCTCTTTATCTCGAGTAATTGCAGTGCAATAAATAACTTACAGCTGCGGCTACTTCAGCTATCCAATATTACCGTTCATCCCTGTAAATAGTTGAATTTGTCTTCAAAATCATAAAGCTATTTTACAATGGCTTCTTATTTTGGCTTTTAATTTTTGTAAAACACCCACAAATGTAAACCAAGACAGATCATTCACAACTTAAGGCAAACATTTTTACAGGAGAAGAATGGCAACAGGGAGAGGTTTTGATAAATGAGATGGAGTGTTAACTCAAACAGGAGGTAGAGGAGCAGCTCTATTTGGGAGGCAGCGGGTTGTCAGGGGTCGTTGGAGTTGCCAGTTCTTTATAAAAGTTCTCAATCTGCTCTTTGTACATCTTCATTACCACCGGCCGCTTCAGCTTCATGGTAGGGCCTGTGGACAAGTAGAGAATTCATATTAAAAAAATCCTCTAGCCCCCACTGCTTTGACCTCAGAAGCTGTAGTTCGAAAGGTCTAAGCCCAGTTGCTTTGTTCTTTGGAAATCACCTAAACTCCACTAGAGGTCATTGTATCAGAGGTTTAACTTGAACCCGCTGCAGACTTGAGTGCAGAAGCAGTTAAAAGGAGTTGAGTTTAAAGGCAGATTCCTACAGCTGAAAATTCTGATTAATTTACAAAAGTTAAAATAGTCATAAAATTTTACCATGCTGTTATGAAGAAAGTTAGCATAACGAATTTAATTAATGTGTGTCACTGGCTCATTTTCAATCCAAAAGGAGGGTTACTGATCATCTGACAAACTGAAGAAGTGACTTCATAGCAGCTATTTATTAATTTAAGCACCAGCAGGACATGTGGTCAGTTTGTCAGTAATGTTGGCAGCTGAAATGTTTACTGACCTCCAAAAAAAAAAAAAAAACCCAATAAAAGCGCAGACCAGTTCCCACTGAAATTCAAATGTAAGCTCATACCACTTGATAAAGTAGTATTATTATAATAGCATAAGAAAACCATAGATAAAGGGATTAATTAGGGTAATCGCTAACCACTAGATTGGAAACCACTATCTACCACGATCTAAGAGATTACAAGATTATTATTGGGGTATAGAAGTTCAAACAGATTTGTGTTATTTTCTTTTTTTTTTATAATGAAGTATATTTTGTTTTTTTGTTTTCAATGCTGCAAATTAGTTTTATCTATAGCAACAGAAATGTGAGAACAGTAAAAACTGTTATATTATAATTATAGGCCCATGCTGACTTATTTGAGTTGCTTGACAAAGAAAAAGTAACTCTTTACATATTAGAGGCTGAAATTTGTTAAAGCTCGGTGTTTTTGTTTGAAAAACAACATCAACTAGTCACAGACCTGCACCATGTGACACTGACATGATGCCCTGAAGTTGGCTCAGGAAGGATATTTCAAGTATTAGCTTGTCCTCCAAGTGAAATTACAACTGCACTCTTCTCTCTGAAAAGTTGACCCCCTAATCAGCGCACCCTGCGTTGCCATCCCACTCACCCAGTTCTCCTCCTGGAAGGGAGAAATCCCGATCCAGAATGATCCACTTTTGAATGCGCTGAGCGTTGGAGGTTGCCTTCTCGTTGACTCCGTTGATTCCCTCCTGAATGGCGGCATGGATTGCCCGGTCTCGGCCACCTGCGATCTCAGAGACCCGTGTGGCGTCGCTGCCCAGCTTCCGGCAGAGCTCCACAGCTTCTGGCGTCAGCTCGTCCTCTGGATCGCCCGACTCTGGGTTTACCTGGCACTGGAGGTACAAAAATATGATTTTTTTTTATTGTACTGCCTAATATTTAAATTGTCTTGTGCATTAAAGCATTAAATTTAAAATTTGGGTCTGTCTATACTAGTGCTGTTTTCCCTTAAAGCCCACTAGATGGCAGCTTCTGAAAATAAATGTCTAAGAAGCCAGCACTGCCATTGCCAGCAGTTACAACAGATACATAGACTCTTTGAGATTAGGTAAAAAAAAAAATAGGTATAAAGATAAGATGTTTACAAGGCTCAGAGCCTTTTACATCCCTTTATCTACAGCAGTACAATTTCCTAACTCAGCACGGTATCCTGCTGTCCTACTTTAACCAAGAATACAACGGACAAACAGAACATTGCCTGCTGTAAAGTTGACACCAGGGGCCACACATCAACGATATGTATGCACAAAAACAAGGAATAACTCCATTTTACACACATAACTGGTATTTATAAGACGAATGTGTGCGCTTGAGACCAGGCGTACAGTTTTGTAGAGGCAGCTGCGATATAAAGAGGACATGAAATAAGGTGAGAGACGTAACCTTGTAGTACAACATTATTTAGGTTGTTTGCTAATTTATTTCTGTAGTCTACACAAATATTTATCAAAGGCACATTATAAATCATTTTGTTTACCTGTTAATCTTTAAATGTTATCCTCAATTGTGAAGCATTTTGTAAAGTCGGTTTCAATATGAGCTCTTTAAATAAGCACTGATCATCCTTCTGATGTTTAATAATGACTGATATCTCCATGATGATGATTTACAGGTGATGAATTAGTGTTATGGATTTTATAAATAGCCACACAGCAATGCGTAATGACAGCTGCTCTGGAGAATCTTGCCGGTGCAGCACAGTCTGTGAAATTGCACTTCTTGGCCGTTCTCACTGATGGTCTCTCTAGTGGTGGAGTATCAATATGCAAAGGGCTGATTAAGTGCATTTTGCGTCAATTTATGGTGAACTGTGTAAATTAGGCCTGTGCATGTGCATCTAGTTCACAATTATTTGAGAACTCTGCTGAAACAGAACCAGTCATCTCTGCCTCTTTAAAAAATCTGATGAAAAGAATGAGCCAATACTTATGCATCTGGCCTCCAGGTCTCACTTTCTAAGACTTACCTTAATGGTGAGCAGCATCGACAGAAACTTCCTCTTGTCTCCGATCAGCATGGCGTTACTAATCAGTGGAATGGCCTCCTTCACTGCATCCTCAATCGGAACAGGAGGGATGTTCTCTCCTCCTGCTGTGATGATCAGCTCTAAAACACCAATACACACAGGTTAAGTAACAGACAGGTTTAATTGACAATGGATAAAGAAAATGTTTTGAAGGCTTACAGATTGAATTCCCAAACCGCACACAAGTCTCTACTAGATCCTGTACAGATTTACCTGTTTCAAAGTGTGTTCTCGCTCTACATGGAATAAATACCTTTAATTCGTCCAGTGATAAAAAGGAATCCATTCTCGTCATGTTTGCCCAGGTCACCTGAGTGCAGCCAGCCCTCTGCATCGAGTGCCTCCTCTGTCTTGTCGGGCATGTTGAGGTAACCCATGAAGACGTGACGGCCCCAGAAGCAGATCTCACCGTTTCCCTCCTCGTCCGGGTTGTGCAGCTTTGTCTTGCATCCTGGGATCTCTTTACCACAACTGCAGGACAAAACATCTTTCTAATTCTCCACCACGCACACATTTTTATGAATTGTCTCTGACTGGTCAATACCAGGAAATTGAGTGTCTAATCCCATTTGAAGTAAAAAGACAAACGTACCTGGTGAGTTTGAAGGCTTCAGGGCGGGAGATGGTGTGAGGTCCAGTGCACTCACTCATACCGTACAGCTCGTACAGAGGAATGTCCAGGCTGAGGAAGAACTCCAGGGTGTCCTTGGTGATGGGTGCGGCACCTGTGTAGCACTTACTGCAGCGGTCCAGGCCTAGGGCCTTACGCACCTTTTTGAACACAAGCTTTTTGGCTATGTGATAGCTTAATGGTGGTCGGCCAGCTGCATCGCTTCTGAGGAGAGACAAAAAATGGAGAGAGTTTTGAGCCACGCAAGCAGCATAGCAATCAGCCTGTCTGTTGGTCCACCACTGTGGCTCACACTGACATGTCTCAACAACTATTGCATGGTTTGCCATGCCATTTGGTTATGCAAAAATCACTCAATCCACATTAATAATCCAACAATTACAGTGGACTTATGTAAGAGGGAAGCACTAACAGGGAAACAAATCACTTCAGTAAAAAGACAGAAACAAAGCATGGAAACAGGAACAAGGCATGATTTAACCATGTCTAAATAAAGCTGTAATTTTTTAGAATATGTACGTACGGATTCATCTTGGTCAGATTAGTCTGCAGACCGACATCTTTGGCCCAGGCAGCCACCTTCCTGCGCACAGTCGACGACTTTGCTCCGACAGCCCTCATCTTCTCCTGCATCTTCTCCCAGACACGTGGGACGCCCATGAAGGCTGTGGGACGCACCTCCTTCAAGGTGTTTACCAAAGAGCCCTGATAAAAAAGAAAGCAGAATTTTAAACACATATCATACTTAAAAACTAAGCATACTTAGTCATCAAACAGTTATTTTCACACACCCCCACACTAAACAGATCCTCTACACTACAATTAAAAAATTTTCAACAAATAATTAGTATTGTTCTAAACTTTTTTAGCTTTGAAAGGCGATGGTTTGTCAAGGTGGTTAACTGTTCAAGAACATGTTTTTAAACTGATACGAGATTCTTATTCACCAGAGTTAATACAAAGTATTATTGTTCTAAAGACATGAATTCTCGGATGGCATCTTCAGTGTTGACTTTCTCTCCAAATTCAGTCTCTCTGTTCTCCAGAAGTACTCCCTGCTGGCCTTGTCCAATGATGAAGACCATTCAGTATATCCCTTAAACATTTACTAGAACTCTCGGTAATCTGCCACTCCTAACTAGATTACAGGCTTTACATGTGTTAATGAACGTGTAGTTGTGATGACTATGCTGAAATTAAAGAAGCCATAAGCTCAGCACACAGACACCGCAGATAAAATCTTGCAGTTCCCATGAAATGGCACTTTATGAAATGCACATGATTGGTGGAGGGTTCAAGGATCAGAGAAGTTTTGGTGATAGGCTCCTTCATCTGTGATGGATTGGCAACCTGTCCAGGGTGTACCCTGCCTTTCACCCGATGTCAGCTGGGATTGGCTCCAGCCCCCCGCGCCCTGTACGCAGGATAAGCGGTTGACGATGGATGGATGGAGGCTCTTTCATGACCATCTGCTGGACCAATCCTTTCTGAAATACCCTCTCTCGATCATAGAGCGGAACACTGGCTTACTATTTTTTAGAAGTATTCTATATTACTTTTTGCTATTTATTCCTGTAAACATTTTTTCTTTTGGTTATTGTAAACATTTCATTCAGTTTTTTCTAGTTTTCTACTAAACATGTTTTAATGCTGTTTTTGTGAAGCAATTTGGAATTTGTGTCCGCATGGAAGGTGCTATACAAATTATTAGTGTGATTTATTATCTCAATATATCAAAGATTTACTACATTATGAATGTTGTTTAGCTAAATTTCATAACCATATCTTTGCTGTAAATGGGCCATATATTTGCGTGTGTTTGTGTACTATTCGCCGCATATTAACAACTGCTGTTTCTCACCTTCAGTGCATCTGGCTGAGCGAAGTAGGTCGCCCCACCGACCTTCATTGTGACCCAGATGTCGACCATCTGTGCTGCGATGTGGCTGAGTGGCAGGTAGCTGACCACAATCTCCTGGTTCTGAGTGGCGTCTGTCAGTCGCACGTGGCGGCAGGTGGAGAGCGCCGTCCATGTTATCTGAGGGGCAGGAGAGAGGAACACAGTTAATATGATGTATCTTAATAGTTTTATGGACGAGAGGTAACATAGAGACACGTTCTTTACAAGACACAGAAACAACAGTGAATGTATATGACCATTTTTTATGTCTATAAGTGAACTTTGACAGAAAACAAGTTTTTAAATTGTTTCAGTCAGACAACCAGGTGCCAAGTCAATGAGTCTATGGTTTAACATGCCTACAGCACATCATCTATCCATGAGGATTGTCTTGAACAAACCGTGCTAAAGGTAAAGTCATTCTAATTCCTTGAGGCATTTTGTTGATCCACACCTGCATACGTTGAAACCTGCCTAACAAGCAGTGCAATACTTTCAGCTGTCAGACACATTTGCACTTTTCTCCCATCACATAACTGGGTTGAGTTTCTGCTGTCAGTCTCAGGAGTCAAACATGTGACACTCAAAAGGTTAAAAAACACGCTGTTGTAACTTACATTGTCATGGCTGAGCATGACTCCTTTGGGCTGCCCTGTGGTTCCTGAGGTGTAGATGAGGGTGCAGCATTGGTTGGGCTTCTGGCTGGAGATGACTGCGTCGAGTGGTGCATCAGGCTCATCGCGTCCGAGCTCCATAAACTCCGCCCACTGCAGTGCACAAATTCACTTAGATGAATGTTTGATGAAATAAGTCAATTTTTTCATGTTTCATAAACTGATTGTTTGCTTACTGTGTACAGATTTGGTCTCTTCTCTTTTAGTGCATCTTTGTACTGGATAATGGCTTTCAGGTGTGGCAGCTTGTCTTCAACCTGTGAGCAAACAATACAATCCAATGAGAACATAACTGCAGGCGATGGTCTGCTTTCTACACTACTGGCTATAAATATGTATGAATTATTTCAAGACTTATACTGTATTGATCAAAGGCTTGCTACAACATCAGTCTAAATAATAGAATAAAGATTAAGGATGAAAAAAACTTTAGTTGTGTCCTAGATCTATACTGCACGCTAATTATAAGCAGGTTTTAATAGTCAGTGTGCAGACCAAAACCCCTCGACTTAAATAGAGAAGTTGCTCACAGCTGGAAAAAACAAATAAAAAATAACTTATTTTTAGAAAAACATTTTGCTGTCTCTTTCAGTTTAACTGGCAGTGGCATAGGAAAGTATTGTCTCATTTCCTGGTAATAGAAAATGGTTAAGTTTGTAGATTGATTGTATTCTAACTGCAAAGGCAGTATAATATAAAAATTTGAATTTAGTATATACTGTAAACAATTAGTATTTAGTACGGACATGGGGCACATTTCCTACGTGATGTGTGGTATGTAAACTTTATTTGTATTAATTTCTTCAATTCATAGTTGTCCACAGTATTTATATGCACGGTGTCACTCATTCTGATCTCACCTGAAGGATCTTCTGCAGCTGTTTGTGGTTCTCCACCACAATGATATTGGCCCTGCAGTTTTCTGCTACATACTGGCATGCCTCAGGAGAGTTGGTGGTGTAGATGCCCACAGCAAACCCACTGCAACAGATCATTGACAAGCCAGACTTAGCGAATGTGAAAGAGAAACTGCAGATAGACAGATTCAGAAGAGACTCTGCCCTTGTGCTATTCTGGAAGATCTTTTGCACGAAACCTGCTGCTCGAGATTTATTTAATCTACAGAACAATGAGACGTGATGTACCAAAAATCCATCCCCATCGTTCGTGCTCTCTACATTCATCTGTAAAGGTTTAATGTTTTTTTTTGTTTTTTTTACAACAGATCTCTTGTGAAGTAATTTATACTGTTTTCATTAAACTTGATCAGGAGAAGACTTTAGGTGAAAAAGTACCTTTAGTTCTTCAGTGGGATTTCTTCTCTACATTTTTTTTCCTGATGTTTTGTTTGTCCTACTCCTAGTAAAGACGGGACAATAAAAACTACCTGACGTACCAGTATTGTATCAGCTTTCCAGCAACATGATCCGCAGTAAACATGAGTCTACTACTAAGTTCATCAAACTAAACCTGTGATTTGACTGATCAGAACTGGTTTGACTAGTTGACGGTAGTTTCAATACACACTTATTGCAGCATCAGCACTGAGCAGGGAATTGGCGTGGGAGACAGGGGAATATACAAACACAATATCGGCATGTGTGTTATAGCTTCCAGAGAAGAGTATTAGGTATGACATGTACTGATGGGTATAACCAAATTAATTTGGTTTGGTTTGGTAAAATGTTATGTTGAAAATGTCAACATAATCTTTGTACGTTCTGGTACAATTATGTTCTCTAATCTTTTTGAAATATATTGGATAATTTTACTTTTATACCTCAAGAACTTACTTAAATGAAACCATCTGAGAGATTTAGAGGGGAATTGTCTCCTAGTGGAACTGCTAACAACTCAGGCTGCTAAGGTGTTTTATATTGTATTTTATTTTGTAAGCTTATGTGCTTTAATGGGAAATCTTAATTTGAAAAGTAAGTAGTGACTACAGCTGTGAGATAAATGTAGTGGAGTATAAAGTACATTATTTCTCTCAGAAATGTAGTGGAGTAAAAGTATAAAATAGCATAAAATGGAAGTTCCTCAAAATTATATTTAGTTACAGTAGTTGAGTAAACTTAGCTGTGTTCCACCACTGCAATTAATCAGTTTCCTGTTAAGCAATGTTCTGTCATCTACGAATCAAGATGTCATTAAGATAAGAGACTACGTGCTAAACTGGAAGACACCTTAAGTTATGTTCTGGTGTACTTACATTTCAAGTCTTGGATTGCACCACTCAGGTATGTAAGACGTGCCTACATACGCACATATACACATAGCTGGCAATGAAGCTGTGTGTGAGGCAACACTGAGCTCATCACTGAACTCACAAATTCAGAGGTGATAAGTAACCCACCCTGCCATAATGGCTCCAATGTCAGCAATGAACCACTCAGCGGAGTTGAAGCCCAGGATGCCGACGCCGTGGTAGCGTTGCAAGCCAAGCTGAAAAAACAAAACACACTTTTTAAATATAAACAAAACAACACAAAATAATCCTCGAAATAACATTGGGATATCCTGAACATCCATTTCCAGTGCATAATTTAGCTGGGACTTAGGTAGGTACAGTGTAATCTCTCTTCCCTCTAGGCCATGTTTTTTTTTCCATTTATTTATTTATTTCATTTAAAATATTTTGGGGGGCCTTTTTGACATGTGGTTTATGTGGTACATGTCTCATTCCTAAGCCTCTGTGATGCTCCCTCTGTAACTGTAAGTAAATAAGTTACTTACCTTAAATAAGGTAAGGTACATTTGTTATACTAAATGTGCTTATTTTCATTTTTAAGATGAAACTTTAAACTGTCCTGAGTTCAATCCTTTCCTTATGAGATTCTTTCCCACATGCACTGAAATCTGTGCAAAACAAAGTTTGTCTTTATTCCTGAAAACATCTGAGAAACCATGGAAACTGATATAGCCAAATATACACAAGACTGTCATAATGGAAACTGATACCAAGTTCAACACTGCAGTCACTCATGGAGTCTTTCATAACCAAGGTTGAAATCTAAGAATAATATCGAAAGTTTGATTTCTGCAGAACCTGCAGACCTTTAACAAGGTCAAAAGTGTCGGTATGTGTGGGGGCACAGGGTCAGGGTGGTTTGTATGTATAAGCATACAGACACACGTGTAAGCATGTCTTTGTGTGTGTGTGTGTGTGTCCGTCCATCCGTCCGTCCGTCCATGACCCCCACTGAATTTCCATTTTGACTAACTGTGTTGGGTTTCACAATAAACAATAATCTGCCCTGTGCTGTATGAACAGCTGAGGCCTGTCCTGAGCTGCCTGCACTGACATTTCAGCCCGACTCCTTCGTGCTGTCGTCGTGTGCTGTCTAGACAGACTTGGCATAAAATTGAATGCACCGACACAAGACTTTAAAACAAAGACAACAGAAGTTGATTGTTTTACATAAAAAATGACATCTTAGACCTTTACATAATGAAGGAATATTGTTGCTCAGAGTGAATAAAAACGAAAGTGAAAAAGATAAAGAATACACTTTTTTTCCAGATACTTCTCACTTTTAAAGGTATTGTGTATTTGAGAAGTTTTACATACTCTGAAATAAAACTACAATGAGGAACTTCCCTAATAGTGCAACGCTATGTGACTTTCCAGCACTGAACCTGCAAATGTGTAACTGTTCTGGGTTTGGTTGGGTTTCCACTCCTGACAAAAAATTGTGCAAAATGTCCATTATGATTTTCCTAGAGCCCAAGGTGACATATTCCAATGTCTTGTTTTCCCGACCAACCACCCAAAACCCAAATACATTCAATTAATAATGATATAACAGAGAAAATCCTGATCCTCCTATTGGAGAAGCAGGAGGCTTTGGGATGTTTACTTAAAATTGACCTGAGATTAATTTTCTGTCAATTAACTAATCCATTAATTGTTCCAGCCCTAGTCTGTTATTCACATTATTCATGAGAAAGCTGAAAATATACACACAATGTACATGCACTAATATTTAAAAGCAATATGTTTTCCTCCCAAAGACCAATATCATAACAAAAGGAAGAATTTGAATACAACTGTAAAAACAATGCCTTGGTCCTTTCGTATAAAATGCTGTTTACACTGGATTACACAATAGATAAAAAGACTACCTTAAGGAAGCTCTTGGCAGCGGTGCGGCAGGTCTGGTAGTATTCTTTGTAATTTAGGCTCTTCTGCTGATCGCCCTCCTTCCAGCTCAGAGCTGTACAGTTGCCAAAGCGCTCCACAGCTGAGGTGAACATCTCGTTGACGGTCAAAGGGCTGTCAGCAGCCAGGCCAGAGTCGCCAATCCTCAGTTTCACCTCCGCATCACCCTGCGACGTCCACAGGCCGGGCTCTCCTGCTGCTGGCACCGACAGGGAGTTTGGGCGCTGGGCTTTCACTGTGAAAATAGACATAGATAGAAAAATAAGCAAGGGGTTGTCAAGAGATATCAACGACAGATCTCCTTTCCATGCAGAATCTCCTTGTTCCCATAATCTCCATGAGAGTTGCAACACCCTGTATTTGTCGTATAAGAGGGCCACTCACTGTCTGGTATGACACATAAAGCTACAAACAAACATAAGCCACTGAGCGGTTCTGATCTAAGCTCTTGGCAACAGTCACACAGGATGCACATTGATTAAGCTGTTTAAGGCTGGCTGGATGCAGTTTTCTTTGAAACGGTAAAGTCAATTTTATCTCATACCAACCTTACAGGCTCACTTTCTCCCACAAAACACAAAATGTCTTGTGCCACCCTTGAACTTTTTTTACAAAAAATTTTTTTTCTAGGTTATTTTGATTGGATTTGTCATGTGAAGTGTCTTGAGTGCCTTGGAAAGCACTCAAAAAGAAATAATGTGTATTATCATTATTAAAAATAAAAGTAAGAGTTATATTAAATGGAATGCATTAGAATAGCATCTTAATTTGTCAGTGTTTGTTACCACATGTTTGATTTTTGTAGCTGTTCATCAATTCTCTCGGTTATGATAACATTGTAAGTAATTGCTGAGATGCCTCAAAACATGAGCAATCACATCATCATACAGGTTGCAAGCAAAGACCCATTTTGGCCAACCTTGTTTGAAAGAGAAAATTAAAGCAAACAGTAAAATAACAACCCCAGCTGTCCACGAAAGCATCCATTACAGATTTAATTCCTGGTTCAACTTTTAACAGCCACACTGGCCACAGTTTCATGTGCAGGGAGAGATTACTGATAACATTTTCAGTGCACTACCCTTTGGTTTCGCCTTAAAATAAAGCAGTTTAGATAATAAGCTAGACACAGAGCAGATGAAGGGCAGGATGGTGAATCTTTTCTTATGGACTCTTATGGCCAGCAGACATCCATGTACAACATTTGAATGTACGGTGTTCAATTCAAGATGATTTTAGTGCATAATCCTATTAAACCAAACTAATAACCTATTTAACAGATTTACTACTGCACTGACTTCATGGTAATTATGAGGGTTTCCTGTGAGTAGTCCCTGTTAATTTAAATTAACTCTTGAATTGTAAGAAAGCCTTACAATCAATGGAAGCTTTGCAACCAAATATCAAGGAATTGAATACGTGTATTTTGCCCTCCGTGACTGAGACAGGAAGGAATGTAAAAATGCAGACTGAAGGCAGGAAAAGGAAAGTTGTGTTGTTCTGCCAAAGAATGTGGGCACTTGTGTTTGGCCCACTTCCTCAGGAAAAAAGATCGGGAAAAAAAAAACATGTGCACTAATGCTGACACAGCTCCAGCTCAGAATATTGCTCTGTATATTGCTTATCATCATTTGAATCCGGCTGCACCACCCTCACGAATGTTAGAGTTCAGGGAGGGACGAAGAAAGAGTAAACACATTCAACCTGGCGGCTATTCTTCAGCCATCACCTGTTTGTGTGTTTGACGTCTGTTCAGCGGGGACCTCTGTGGCCTTGGTGCTGCTGTTGACTTCATCATGCGCACTGGTCTCCTCTTCTCTTTCCCCTGTGGACTCCTCCTCTGAAGACTCACTGAAGAAAAGCAAAGGAAAAACTTGGTCACTAACAAGAGGAGAGTGGATTCCCAAAGTGACTGTCGCATCCTTGTGAAAACCAGAGGCAGAAACAAGAGGCATACGTGGAAAACTGTTCATCATCCTCCTGAAAGTACATATTATGTCTTCATCTAAACTGTAGATCTCAAAATGCTCACAATAATAGCTTCAAATTAAAGTTTATGTTATTATTGCATTAAATTAAAGCGTCATGGGCAAAACAAAAGAGAAATAAATCACTATGATTACACTGACAGGAATGTAATCCTACACACAATAAGACTACACAATTACTAACATTATGTGAACTACCACACTGGAGCTAGTACCTGGGTGGCATATTTGCATCAGGATTTGCATCCGGTAATTTCCCTATAATATTCAAATCTTAGTGAAAGACAATGATGCTATGCTTCTGCAAAAAACACTGTCAACTAGCTATCAAGTTAGCAATATTGCAATCCCAGACAACATCTGACTCTAGACCAGTGGTTCCCAACCTTTTGGCTCAATACACAGTGAGCAGTCCAAGCAAAAGTTGATTTATACATTCTGAAATTGTTTAATTTCATATTCTTTTTGAGGTTGCAAACATTAAAACCATTCAGTATTTTTCAAGTAAAAAGCCAAGATAAATGTCTTCATAAATATGTTTGTTCTTTTTTTCTAATTTATCAGCCATCTTTTGAGCCCTCTTTCATCTTCTAACGCAGGTTGGGATCCTAAGCTCTCAGGACAGTGACGTCAAGGTGTCTCGGATGTGTTTGTGCGGGCATACTTGAGCACAATGCCGTCAAGTGAGGCTGCGCTGTCCCCTGCACCACAGGATGACTCCAGGAAGCTGCCTGTTCTGGAAGGCTCCATCACCACAGCTTCAGACATGGCGGTGGGCTCACACGCGGTCACTGAAAGAGACAAGTGATGGGGCTTGTTAGTTACTGTATATTTGACAAGCAAATCTCTAACAAGCAAGTAGTATTATGGCTGTTACAGATGGTGAAAAAGATAACTAGACATAAGCCACATGTGCACACACAAAGTAGTGTAAGTATAACCCAATACTGGCAGGTGCATCTGCAAAAAAGGCAACAGCATCATAAAAAAATCTCCTCATGAGCTGAACGAGAAGTTTAATATAAGACCTTTTGTTCAAATCTCATCTGTCTTCTTTTTCTTGAAATATTTCATTGGTGATCATTTAGTTTAGCGCTGCAACTAATGATCACATTCATTATTGATTAATCCATTGATTCTGTTTTGTTAACCGATTGTTTTGTTTAGTCTATAAAATGTCAAGAAATTGTGGGAAAAGGGTTAGGGCTTCAAATGCCTTCTTCTGTCTAACAAACAGCCTAAAACCTAGAGACATTCAGTTACTTTGATCTAAAACAGAGAAAAATAGCAAATCCTCACCCATTGAGAAGCTACAATCAGATGATGGTTGAAATTTTTGATTTAAAAATGCCTAAATGATTAATCAATAATTAAAATCATAAATTTTCTGTCAATCAACTTCTTGTTTCAGCTCTAATTAAGTACACTGGGTTACTTATGGGTGTTAATTTCTTTCACTTTATTGTTAATTTCTTTGTTGACTAACGGTGAACCCTCTTTGTAGCATGTATCCAAATCATCTAATTATTATATTTATTATATTCAGAGGATCATACATCTAGGAATTAAAATATTTATTTGCATCCTATTGACAAATATGTTACAGAAATCTGTAACGGAGATTTCTGTCAGTATTGTAAATAATATGTAGATATTGACGTAGTATTTCAGGGTGTGGGTGCCTTTTTCTTGATATGAAAACTAGACACAAACACTAACAGTAAAATTCAAGCCTGGTTTGAGAAGGCAGATACCTTATGACTTTAAAAGAAAAAATGGGTTGCTCCCCTGGTCTAATTGCAAGACAGTAACACTAACGTGTGACAGCCGGCAGCTTCTAGTACTCACAAGACTCACACTTGAGTGTTTTTGGCACCAAGTCGCATTACTTTTGCCAGCAGTTGTAGTTTGGGTTATGTCTACACATCCATTCCTGTTTTTGGATATTGTGCAGGTTTCACTGTATAATCTGTTTTTTAGACATTTCATTAAGTGACTATAAATATTGATGACATATGGTGACTGACCTCTGCTGAACAAATACAGAATGTCGACAGGAAACCTCTCAAAAACGACCACTATGTTCAGCTACGTCATGCTTATTATCAACCTTTAGTGCTGACTTTCTGAGCTGCTAAACAAACATTGTCTTCGTCTACACCACGTCGCCTACTCTGTTGACAATTTTTGGTTGTATGGCAACAGTGTGGGGAACATATGGAGCCGAGCTGGCAAAGTAGAAAGTCTTATTACAGATAACATTGTCCTGCTGCGAATAATGAATTGCCTTTTATTGCCGCGCTCGGTCAACAAAACACCTTTTCAAAAACGGTTCCATTGCACCACCCTTTCAAAATCCAACGAAAACCTAGTAGATAAAACTAAAATCTGATTATGAGATATGACGGCATGAAAGACAGACAGAGCAAAGTGCGACGGACAATGAAAGCCTGATTTCCTTCTCCTCTATCAATCATCCTGCATCATTTACATGGTGCTACTTGGTGTGTAAAAGGTAATAATTTCCTTTTAAAAAAAGAGGTGGAGGGAGAATCCTTTTCCGCCTTTGCCATTACCTCATTACAGGAAACACGTCAAATCCTCCTAAACAACTCACCACTCAGCCACCATCAATCCCACACCTCCATGATGCTCCCTCTCATTCAAGCTCTTTGGTAATTCACAGGTCTGAACTGCTGCTGGCCTGTTTGTTTAAGGGGGCTGAAAACACATACCAGCAGCTTCGTCTGCCTATTGTGAAAGCAGCCTATCATGACTCGCCTGTCAGGGACAATTAGTGGAAAGAAACAGGCTCCAGGGAGGTCAGGAGGCAGGAACAAAAATATTTTTCATCATACTTTAGAGTTTGACACATATCTGCCAACCACACCTTCCATGTATGTAACAACTTTCAGTGTATTTAAAATGGCAGGAACAAAACTGCCAGCAATCCTGAAATGCTGGCCTCTGGGGAATCAGCAGCCATCAGTTCTTCAGTTAAGAAAATCAATCCTACTTAAGTCATGTGATGAATGGCCTAAACCGAGGCGAGTTCTTTACTGAGTCATACGGACGCCCGAAGGTCTCTCAAAAAGGAGACAGATGTCACCGGGTGATCTCCCCACTGCTCACGTGGACACATGCAAAGCTGCCATTTTATTTTGGCTCGTGCTTCCATTGCATCTGCAGATTCCTTAAGGACACAGCTGTAAGTGAATGTGGGTTTCCAGCAGTATTAAAGGGAGTTAGGTTGACTGGCAGATATTGAATACAACCCCGCTCTATTTCCTTTCTGTCATTGTTTTTGGTCTTCAAGCACAGTGGTCACCGGAAGGAACTGGGAAGGTGTTCAGTCACTTGTAGTGTAATACATCCTTAGACATCAGACTGGAAAACCACCTAAGGCTATTTCTTGCTTGCCCCCCTTTTTATATCCCCTTCTTCCTTTTCAACCATTTTGGTCCAACACATTTAGATCTCGATTAAAGGCTACAGATGCATGCCTCTGATTTAGCTCTGGTGGGAGAGTCCCCTACTTCTTGTCAGAAGCGACAAATACCTTACAGCATCAATCATTTCTCATCAAGTGTTAGTGAGTTATTGGTCAATGTTTTGCCCAAAATAAATATCATGCCTTGTGTGGTAAACTATCATTTCAGATTCTGATATCACCCATAGGACATTTTTGTGGGCTTCCCCTTAACTTGAACTTCACAGAAACGAAAAGCAAAACCAAGGTCTCTTGGGAAGTAAGGCCGCAACTAATGATTATTTTCAGTAGAGATTAACCTGCCGACTGATTAATGGTTTTGTCTATTAAATGTCAGAAAATAATGAATCCCAGAACCCAAGGAGGAGACGTCTTCAAAGGTTTCCAAAACCCACAGATATTTCACTTAGAATATAAACCTGAGAAAAGCAGAACTTTAACATCGGAGAAGGGGGAACAAGCAAATGCCTCGTTAGAGATCATTTTCTGTCCCTCAAAAAAATCAGTTAACAGAGTAATCATTACAGCTCAGGAGCAGCTTTTTGAATGCTTTCTAGCATGCTTTTGTTCAGATTCCTTGTCATGTGCCAGCACAGCTAATGCCCCAGGATGAATTATCTTATGGATTTTAACACTGTGCAAACTGACATCATTATTGCAATTGCGTTCATGCAATCAGGAGAGGATTATGAATGTGGAGCAGAGTCATGCATTGCACCAACCGATTCATAAAGGGAAAATTCAACAGTTGGAACAGATAACAACTCTTAAGCCTTTTATCACTAATTATTGTCTTTCATAACCCCTCCCCCCCCAACGTGAATACTTAAAACCAAACAAGGGACTCTCTCCAATACAATAGCCTACTACCATGCCTGCAAACTTCAGTTAGGTTAATCCCCTGTCAACACACAACAGACAAAACCCCACCCCTGCTTTCAATTTTGTCTGTCTGTTCTCAGGCACCATCTCTCCTTGTCCAAGATAACAGACATCTCCTCTTGACTGTCTGAACCTAATGTTGTCACTCAAAATACACCTGAGACAATTTGTTTTTCAATCAATACATTCTCTGAACCTCCGCATCCTCAGCCAGCTGCTGCCTCTGAACAGCACCCAGCAGAGCAGTTTTTACAACTGGGCGTAAACCTCTGCATCCTCACTATACAGTTACCACCTCAAGCTCAACAATTTTTTAAGCTAATGTGGCCATTTAAAGAAAACAAGGCAAGGCTTTGCATGCCTTTAACGTTTGTCATCATCTGGCAGATTCACACAGATCTGCTGGTTGGGTTACACCCTTTTGCAGAAGAGCATCTATCCACATGCTGTGGACAGGGTGACTCAGCCATACATTTCAGCTCTCTTGAAATTTACAGATTAAAATACTGTGAATCACAGCTGTGCTCAAATCAGGCTAAAAGATTGGCTTCATTTAATTACATCTGTAGAATTAATGTCAGGGAATGGCAAAGCCAAATGATAACATGGGATATCAGACTATAGCACCAAACCTGAGGATTTAACAGATCTTAATTCATATAAAATCCAAAGTATCATACATGAGACATGACTACAATGGAAGCTGTTTTCTCATCACCAACTGGTTTCTGATTTGTCTGAGTGAAAGCTGGAGTTTAAGGTAAAAGGATTATATCTCAGCTACATGAAATATAAATGTAAACTGTGGTACTCACGCTGCATTGCTGGAAACTAATTCTATCCCAGGTTTGTATTACAGATTTTCTCTGGAATCGTCCACTTTTCCTTTTCCCTTTCTGTAAATGCCGCTGAACACACACACACACAAAAATACACCAGCTGTCCACCCTTTCTACAACTTGAGCAGCATATCATTCATTTTCAAACACTAGTAACCGGCTTGGTTGGTCCCACCCCCTGAAAACCCCACCCAGAGAAGCCCGCCTGCTTCCTCCAGACAAACTCTCCTCCTCCCTGTGTCTCCCAAAGCAACCTGATTGGCTAAAACTGCTCACACCACAAAACCAATTTTCCATATAAGGCCACGCAAGCCAAGTCAATAAGATGGGGGGGGGGGGGGGGGTAGCTCTGAGGACACACTCACTCTTGATGATGATGACAGATGATGCTATGAAACTCAAACCCATCCCCCTACAGAGATATGCTGCTATGCCGGCTGGGGTTACTGTCGGACAAACTGTATGCAAACGTGTCTGAGGCCAGATTACAAGTGCAGCTGTGCTGGCTTGGCTTTTTGTCTTTCCACTGACTGAAATCATTCTTATGCACACTGCAAAGCCGCCCACATCCTGTCACCTACATTATTAAAAAATATTACACATTGATCTTCCTTCATCTGCTCATCTTCCATCATTTTAAGCCATTGAAACCCCAAGGCTGCAAATAATGATTATATTCATTATCGAATCATCTGCAAATTATTTTCTCAATTAATCAACCAATCGTTTTCTCTATTAAATGTTAACAAATTGTGAATGTCCATCTCAGTCTCCCAACTGTCGAAAACACAAATTATACTCAGTTCACAATAATATAAAACAGAGAAAAGCAGCAGATCCTCATATTGGAGAAGCCGGAAAAAGCAAACATTTGACATTTTTTCTGAAAAAATAACTGAAAGGGTTAACAAAATAATTGCAGATTAATTTTGTCTGTCGACCAATTGGTTAATCAACTAGTTGTTAACTCAACCTTCCATATCATGCCACTACAATTGTTTCAAAATAAAAACTTTGCTGACTGCATTACAGTGCAAGTGGTCAGTGAAATTAGTCCGATTTTTATTTAACAGTGTAACATTGTTTGCAAACACAACTTTAGCCCTGAAAATCAAAGCTGTCAGCCCAGTTACCCAGCTTAACAAGTCAATCCTGTACTTCTAGTTCCTTAGAGCCAGGACGGGCTCCAGAAAGCAAGTTAAACAAACTCTGAGTCCAGCTAGTCTAACCCTGAACTCGGAGCTGATGAACCCTGAGAACGAAAACCCTGTTTTCCAGAACAGCTGATCAAATTCAGTTCAGTTAACTCTTTGTATGTTCACTCTGAGTTAAGCTTGTTCATGGTGAATAAAAAAAGCCATCATCAATGGAGCTCTAATACTATGATTCACCATGGAAAACCAGAGTCTCCATTTTAATCAAGTGGATGAAGATATATTAATGCATGTATATCCAGTTTTATCTTTAAAGAAAGTCTACTTAGAGTTGGAAAAAGTGTCAATAAGTTAGCACAAGAAGTTTTTTCAGTGTTGTGTGCTTATTCATCATTTACCAGACAGGCTGGGCTGTACATTTCCTTGGATGATAAAGGTGTGGAATCTGATGTGTATTAGGCTGTAGCCCACATTACATTTTAAATTTATTTCTTCAGCTTTAATCTGATAGGGATAAAACACCGCGGCTTGATAAGCTCACAATCTGACCTGATAATAAAGTGTTTTGCACTTGATAAGGTGATGAGGTTAAAATACTAAAAATTTTAAATTAAGATATCTATTTGGATCTTGGCTCAACAGCGTTCAATGGCTTTATTTCAGCCTCAGCAAATTTAGGCAAAGTCACTGAAATGCTGTATGTAGCTTATTTAAAAAAAACAAACAAAAAAACTAACTTTCTGACTACATTCTGCAGCTGTACCACAATCCTGCTCAATCAGAAATATTAACATATAATATCCAATTCTACCGGCATTATGTTCAATTAGTGAACCACTCACATCACAAGTGAAAGAGATAATTATACATTAATCATATGTGTCTTAAGGTTCATACTGATTTTTACAGTTTCTAAAATCTTTGTTGATAAAAAGAAAGACATGGAGAGGTTTTATTCTGAGCTGAGGGTGATTTAAATGGGAGGGCAAAAACCGCTGTTCAAAGAAATGACTGACAGTGCATAAAAGCAGTAGCTTGACATAGCAACAAACTGGGTTTTTATTTTGACACACAGTAAACCTCTGCTAACTGACTGAATCAACAAGTCAATGAAACAGCGTGTATGACTCTGAAAACCTGCCGGCGAGCAGTTTAGGTTCACAGAGTAATCATGGTAACTGACCCAGAGTTTCAGTTACCTCTCTTTCTGGAATGGAAAACCCAGAGTTTCCCTCATCTCATGGTTAACTAACCAGTTTTTACTAAACCTGCTTACTTGAATACTCAATATACACGGTACTAAAACAAAGACAGTGCCTCTAGAAAGGAACCAACTCAGGAAAAGTAAACATAACTTGTCTATAAACACTGTAGCCTACTTTTGATAGGCCTCCAACTATGAAAATAAAGGAGTAAACGTGCCTGCCTCTGTGAAGGAAGTAGGTAGGGTTTTATAATGTGGGTAACAAAAAATTAGAGTAAGGTACCACTGATTCACACAGAATCAGCACCAGAGGTTAAAAAAAATATGATACGAGATACGAAAGGAATTTCCTTTACACAGTTTCCCCTAAAATCCCCGCCTCCACTGTTCAATAGGTCAAGTAGTTCAAATAGAGGAAGCAGAAAACACACATATTTCCTGCTCGAACTGATTAAAATATAAAAGGTGTAAAAAATTGCTGACATTTAAAACACGAGAGCTGCCTTTCTAGATTTAACCTCACAATAACATACGTGATTTTTTTAAACCTGTATTTTTAGTAAGATAGCTCACTTAAAACATCTGAAAAACATCCATTGACATAGACTTCGAAATGGAAACGTGTTTATGTTTATGCACATGACATGCTGTTGTAACATCAGATCTGAAAATATCTCACGCGTGTAGAAGCTCACATGACTTCACAAAATGTGTGCCATCACTACTCTATGGACAGATCAGTCTCAGCCAATTGCCATGAGAGACGAAAAAGCAGAGCCACCACACCACAGCATCACATGACAGCCAGAGGACGGCTGATCCGGTTTACCCATGCGCAAATGCTGAAATGCTGCAGGATGTGCTGATGCACCGTGCACTCAGAGGTTATTGTCGGTCACTGACATCCTGTCTCATCCCACACTCTACTTGGGCAGTACGTAAAATGGCCAGTGGTTGAAAGTACATTTACTCAAGTACTGTACTTAAATACAATTTTGAGGTACTGCTTTACTTGAGTATTTCCTTTTTCTGCAACTTTATACTTTTTACTTGATTACATTGATTTGATAACTTAGTTACTAGTTACTTTCCATATTCAAATTAATAATACAAAATATAATCAACAAATAAATTATGATGTTATTATATCAATTATCAGCTGCAATATTAAAATTATGTACACATACATCAATAATCATAATCCAATAATATATTGCCTATGTTGCTATATCTGCCCTCTTATTTCTTAGTACTTCTTCGACCATTGGAACTGACTTATTTCATTTGATATCGAGTTTCAATGATAAAATATTTAACATTTATACAATTTATCACTAATTAGACATTATATTAATCTATAAAATTAGTTTTTCGAGCTAATGGAGAGACTTATTGTCTCATGTAAGATTAATCTGTCGGTGGTGTGTTCATATTACGCTTCCAAATATGTTTGTGATTTTACTAGAAAAATACCACAGTTTTAATAATTATTAGGCCTATATCACCTAGCACAAAAGTAAATTGATGGAGAAAATATGTGTGATTTGCAGTGGTGGAAGAAGTATTCAGATCTTTAACTTAAGTAAAAACTATCAATACCCCTGTAAAAATAGTCCAAAGTCAAATTACTTGTTATTCAAAGTACTTTTATTTTAAATTATTGGATATGTAATTAATACCATAGCCTATTATGTGCATGTAAATTTTCGTTTAAAGTGCATTTTAGGCATGGTATAAACCGTTTGGTAGTTTAATCCATAAGAATACAGCAATATTTCATAATAGATATTAATGTGTAAAGTAACTAATACTAGCTGTTAAATAAATGTAGCAGAGCAAAAAGTACTTTATTTCCAAGTATAAAATTAAATGTAAAATACAAGTACCACCACCTAGGGATAAAATAATTTATAAATAACAAAATAATGTATATATTTAAAACAATTGTCCTGAGAGGCACAGTTGTGTATATCCCTTCATACAGGAGACAAGCTTAACACTCCATGGACAGTAAAATGTCAAAGGATTATTTTCGTAGCATCCAAAAACTACAGCTCCCAGAAGGCTTTGAATGGATTACAATGGCTAAGACTCATGGGATATGTTGTTATTTAATGCTTACAAAAATAATATTTTGGGGTAAAATGAGAACAATATTACAAACCAACTTAACGTAGATTATGGGCAGAAAACCTCAATAATATGTTTGTTATTTTAAGATTTAAAGAGAAAACTTTGGAGAGAAAACCAAGTGAGTGACAGAGGCTAGTGGAGCAGATGCTAGCTAGCTAGCTAGCCAGCCTAGGGGCGGGATTTCAACTCAGTAGATCTGAAGTTGGCGCTGCCTCTGCGGCTTTACTATTGGCTACGTCTCGGCAAGGTTTCGGGTAAAGAGCTAACGATAAATATACATTAGCAGTTGAAATACTGAGCTTTAAACTCCTGTGAGGTGATTTGTCACTTTTTATTTATATTAAATAGCTTCGCGGCGTTGTTTAACTTTACTTTAGCTGAGTATTAACAAGACTACTAAGTAAACGTTAACTTAATTAGCTTAACTTAACTCCATTCATCGTCAACCGTTTATCCTGCGTACAGTGTAGCGGGGAGCTTAACTCTAATTGTCATAATTTATAAACGATAACTTACCTCAGTAGATAAACTCAGTAAGTTAATGTGTGGCTTGATGCTCGACTTGTGCCAAAGATTAACACAAACCAACCCCGGTAACGTTGCAAAGGTGGCATTACTTACCTCTAGAAGAAGCTCTTTGTTTTGAT